ATTCTGAGAATAGATCTTTTACTTCCTTGGTTGAGTTTATTCCTAGGTATCTTGTTTTTGTTGTTGCTTCAATGGTAAATGGGATTGCTTTTTTAGTTTCCCTTTTTGGGTGTTCATTATTGGTGTATAAGAATGCCATCAATTTCTGGATGTTAATTTTGTATCCTGCTACTTTGCCAAATTCATTTGTTAAATCTAGTAGTTTTTTGGTGGAGTCCTTGGGGTTTTCTATGTACAGTATCATGTCATCTGTGAATAATGACAGTTTTACCTCCTCCTTTCTAATATGAACCCCTTTTATTTTTTCTTCTTGTCTAATCACTGTAGCTATGACTTCTAGTACTCTGTTGAGTAAGAGGGGCAAAAGTGGGCATCCCTGTCTTGTTCCTATTCTTAAGGAAAATGCTTTTCATTTTTGCTCATTGAGTATGATGTTGGCTATAGGTTTTTCATATATGGCCTTTATTATGTTGAGATATTATTTCTTTATTCCAACTTTGCTGAGTGTTTTTTTCAGAATTGGTGCTGGGTTTTGTCAAATGCCTTTTTAGCATCTATTTATATGATCATATGATTTTTATCTTTCATGAGGTACACCACATTGTTTATTGATTTGTGAATATTGTACTAGCCTTGCATCCCTGGGATGAATCCCTCTTGGTTATAGTGAATAAATTTTTAAATACATTGCTGGATCTGATTTGCTAATATTTTGTTGAGGATTTTGTTATCTATATTCATCAGGAATATTGGCCTGTAGTTTTCTTTCTTTGTAGTGTTTATCTGGTTTTGGGATTAGAATTATTCTGGCCTCATAAAACAAGTTTGGAAGCCTTCCTTCTTCTTGAATTTTTTGAAATAGTTTGAGGAGAATGGATATTAGTTCTTCTTTGAATGTTCGGTAAAATCCCCGCATGAAGCCATCCAGGCCTGGGCTTTTGTTGCTGGTAGAGTCTTGATTACATCTTCAATTTCTTTTGTTGTTATTGGTCTGTTCAAGTTTTCTATCTCTTCCCAGTTCAGTTTCGGGAGACTGTGTGATTCTAGGAATGTGTCCATTTCACCTAGATTGTCCAGAATTTTACCTGTGATATGTCTTGATATGAATTTCTTTGCATCTGTCATTATTGCCTTTTCTCAGTTTCTTGAATTTGGAGGTTTATATCTTTCACTAAATTTGAAAAGTTTTCAGCTACCATTGTTTTGTTGAACATTTTTTTCAGCCTCACACTCTTTCTGAGACTTTAATGAAATCAATATTGTGTGTTTTGTTATTGAAACTCAAGTCTCTATGGCTTTTTCCTGTTTTTCAGATGGGCAGTTTTTTTGTTTGTTTGTTTTTTGTTTTTATCCTCACCCGAGGACATTTTTCCATTTTTTGTTCAGATAGAGCGGGAGGGAGAGAGGAAGAGAGAGAGAGAGAAACATCGATGTGAAGGGATACATCACGTGGCTGCCACCCGCACGACCAACGAGGGCCGGGCACAAACTGCAACCGAGGTATGTGCCCTTAGCGGGAACCGAACCCGGGTCTCTCTGGACCGCAGGCCGACGCTTCAACCGCTGAGCCAAACCGGCCAGGGCCAGATGGGCAGTTTTTATTGTTTACTTCACTGATCCTTCTTTATCGTATGTATTACACAACTGAGCCATATAATGAGATTGAATTGTTTTCAGTGTTTTTAAGTTCTACAATTTTCATTTGATTTTTTTCTATCTTATACTTTTTGTGAAATTAAAATTCGTAAAATTTGTTTCAAGAGTATTTGTAATTTTTTATTAAAACATTTTTGTTATGGCTACTCCAAGAACTTTTTAAATAATTTCAATATCTGTGTCATTATAATACAGACATCTGTTGATTATTTTTTTTCATTCAAGTTGTAATTTTCTTTCTTCTCAGATTTTTCATTGGACTTTATATATAGTATGTTATGAGACTCTGGATCCTATTTACATTTCTATTTTAGTAGACAGTCACACTGTTTAGGTTTATTACATAGATTCTGGCCCACTTCTTTGGCCTGTGGTTCCCAAAATAATTTAGTTTTCAGTGCTATTCTGATCTGCTTTGTTCACCTGACACTATTGGTATTCTTGCTTGCTCCCAGCTGGTGCTGCTGGCTGAAGTAGAAAGCATTTCTCCAGACTGCCCAGTGCTACCAGGTGGGAGATGGGAACTATCAGGCCCACAGGGCAGAGACCACATTCCTGGTCTTGCTCACTGGCAACCCAGGCCTGGGGACAGGGAAGCCATGCTCCTGCTTGATCTCTACTCGTGTTCCAGACGAAGGGGAATGAACCCCCTGGGGCAGGGGTAGGAGATGGCGGGCCTGGGAACTCTAGAGCATCTGTGCAGCCTTTTTCTCTTCATTCACAAAATTGAATTTTTATTTCTCTCTGTACCCATATTTCCACTGTGAGTCAGAAAATAGAATTGTCAAATTTCTGAAAACTGCTTCCCTAAAATTTTCAGCCAGACTCACCACAGTTTACTTCTGGTTTTTTCTTCCATTCATTTCAAATGACAATTCCTCATGGACAAATCCAATCTAGAATAGGTATTCCTTAGCACTTTCTTCTACCCTAAGAGATGACTTGATCAGCATAGAGGGTAAAGACTTTTATCAGATCCTCTGCTTTATACAGAGTGAGTTAGATCATGCCCACAGAATCAAAATGACCAGTTTCTAAAATGTCTCGGCTCCGTGCCAGGTGATAGCTCTGACATGTAACACCTTCTGGGCCTAAGTCGACACCCACGAATGACCCCTATCATTCTACCATGTCTGGTTTTTGTTTCCCATTGTCCTTTGTCAAATGCCTTCCACTATGCTCTTACCATCTAGTTTGACCATATCTGTGTCTTCCATACTGTCCCTCACCCCCACCTTCTAGCTCTGTAATACCTGTGTCTCTGATGCACAGTTTATCTCTCTATTCCCATCCCATGTTATGTTTCATCATGTTTAGTTCTATCTACACATAGATTGTATTCACCATCCGCCATCTCCTGTGAAATGTGAGGCTTCCCATGTGGGTTACCCATCCTCACTGTGATGGTTTATGGACACTGAGGCCCTGCCTTGCATTCCCAGTGATCTTCCAACACTTCTAAACTGGCAGGGTTCCGTTCCACACGGGCTCAGCACCCAAACATCTGCAGCCACTCATTCATCTGTTCAGTCATTGTCTTTCCAGCACACACTGTGTGCCAGACACCATGCTGGCGCTGGAGCATAGCCCAAGAAGCTTCCAGGCCACTTGGGGAGACTGAGACCCAGAGTCAGTTCAGGGTGATTGGCGCATGACAGACTGAAGCAGATCAGGGTCCCACAAAGCTTAAGGGAACCAGAGAATGTGCCTTGGAGCAGGAGAAGCTCATGATGCTCCTGGAGGCTGAGGAGGAATCAGTCCTGCTTGGAGAGGAGGAAGGGCTGAGTGTTCAGAAGAGACAGATGCCTGAAGCAGGAAGGCTGAAGCTGCCAGTGGTCTGGCCTGGCGATGGGTTATGGTCTGTGTGGAGGGGTGACAGGAAGTGCAGCCCCGGGACAGCTGGCTGGCAGGAGGGCTTCATATACCGGCTGGGGAGGTGTTTGCATGAAGGCAGTGAGCAGCCTGAAGGGCTGAGGCAGGGGAGTGACTTGGCCAGGTTGTATGTTAGAGAGCTCATTCAGGCAGCTGTGTGGGCCTCTATAGGGGGTACGATGTGGGGACACTCTGTGCTATATTGAGCACAACCAAGTATCACTAACTAAAAATCTGTCCAATAAGAAGCCCCTCTTTTGACGCTGCCAGAGCCATCTCTAGACCATTGTGCATTAGAGGTGCTTGAACATACTCCTGCTCAGCAGGTGCTGGACTGTCAGCAGCACAACACAGCCCCACGGGGACGGGAAAGCCCCCAGGTCATACATCTCCATTGCAATAGTCAACTGAGCACCCGCCCTCACCTACCCCTAAGGAAAACGGTGCTGTTCACAGCAGCCTGTCCCCTGCGCTGCTCACTTCTCCTCCCTCTTCCCCTCAGGTCTGCCCTGGGGCTCATGTCAACTGTGAGCCTAGTGAGGTGAGCTCAGTCCTGGGAGTTAGTTGGACCTAGGGTCAGAGGCCCACTGTGTCACCTGTTCTGAACCCCAGGTCTTTCCTCTGTAGAAGGGGATGCTCACACCTACTTGCAGGACTGCTGCAAGCATTAGAGATGACGTCGGTCAATTCCTAGGGCAGGGCAGGGCCTCAGCAAAGGCGGTGTGGGCCTTCTGCAGCCAGCTCCCTGCCCTTGGACACCTCTAAGCAGGGAGAGAGCTGGCATGGGGGAAAGACTGGAGTTGGAGCCATTGCACCCTCTTTTATAACACCCCAAACTGGAAACAGCTCACCAATAGGGAAATACTGGCATGAACTGTAGCTTTTGTTTTTAAGGACTATTAGGCAGCTGTTAAAAGAATTGTCAAATCTTTCTCTACAATGAAAACTAGAGAAATGTCCATGGAAAATCACTCATTGCAGAAAGCAAGGTGTCATGTTATATATAATATGATATCCCTTATGTAAAATTAAAAGAAAAAAACAGGTCTATCTAGGAGTACATGGGTATTAAGTTTCTGAGAGCAAGGAGGGATGGGAGGAAGGCACACCCCAGAATGCTAACCAAGCTCACCTCCTTAGTTAGGAGCTCAGGGAGTCGAGGGGAATCATTAACTCCTCTGCCTGACAAACCTCTACGGAGAGCCCGCTGTGGCCGGGTCCTGGGCGGCAGCTTCCACCCGAGGCCGCAGACGTGGCGAGGGGGTTGTTTGGCCACACCAAAAAGCTGCAGCGCACTCCCTGCGTGTGGTAGGAGGGCGGGACGATGTGAGGGTGGTGGGCTTCTGGGGTCTTCTCCTCTCAGCTTCACAGGGGGCCCCTGCCGGCTCCCAGCGAGCGGACTCTGGCCCAGGCCGGGGTCCTGTGCTCTCCAGCCTTGGCAGCAGCCACCTTCCGCCTGGGTTGTGTTTCAGATCCAAAGCCCACGAAGAGAAAAGGGGTGAAGTGCTTCATGGTCATGGTGGTCACCTACCTGCTTCTGCTCTCCGGGGGCGCCGCGTTGCTGGTGATGAGAGGTACAGCAGCTTGGTCCCTCCGGGGGTGGCTGAACTCAGCCCCTGACACAGAGCCCCGGGGCCACTGCTGCCCCCTGCTGGGAGGGAGTTCTCAGTCCCTCCGTTCACAGGTGGCCGTGGGAAGGGGGAAGTGAAGAGGGAAGTGTGTGTTGTGTTATGTGTGTGCGCATGTGTGAGAGAGAACACACACAGGTGGAACCTGTGTGTCCACCGCAGTGACAGGCAGTGATTTCACGCAGGTGTGCCGTGAGCGTCTTGCATCAGGATTTCCGGCCTCTGAGTGGGAACGGGCTTTGTGATCAGTGCTCACTTTGACTTGACTTCACTTTTCAAAGTGTTCCCAGTACAAATGTTAAGCCCTGAAGCAGTCCTGTCAGCAGACACTGAAGTCACTCAAGAACATCTGTGCCCAGTTGTCATCAACTCATATCACAGGCGTGTTAAGGTCTCACGTGAATAAGTCAGAACACAGTAATTGTCGTGCATTCATTCCGGGGCAGGCATGAGGGTCTTAACTGCATGAAGGCTGAAGATTGATCGTGAGGCTGTGGGTACATGCAGGGACGTGCTGTGAACATGTAATGTCATGCCTGAGTGTGGAGTACACATATGTAAGATACAGAAAAAGCTCTGTGCTCACACTGTCCTCACAGCATATGAAACATGTTAACGTATCCAGGGCCTACAGAAGTTACGCGCCTCTAAACAGGAGTGTCAGGAGTGTGACCACATGCCTCGGGCTTTAATGAGGCCTAAAAGAACACTGGGGGCGGGATGGGTGTCCAGTTCTGAACCTGCAGGAGCAGCTCAGGGCCCTGGAGAGCCACCTGTACAATGGAACAGCGGCCCCCGAGGACAGCTCGTTCTTCGCCTCTCTCCTGGTGGAGCGCACCCCTCGCCTGCCTGCAGGGGTTCTGAGGCTGCAGGACCTGCAGGCCCAGCTCAGCCAGGTCCACGCCCAGCAGGAGCAGCTGCTGTGGCAGGTGGACAACTTCACTCGGAGCCCAGGTTTGGCCCCTTCCCACCCCAACTGGGACTCCTCAGAGGAGGATGAGGAAGGAGGAGCTCTTTCCTGGGGTCTGTGGGTCCGAATCTCCTTCCCTGGCAAGGGGGTCTTCCCAAACCCTGGTGTGGTATGAAACCCTGGGGTCCAAGACACAGAGGGAGAGCCATAGGGGTGGACATGAAGTTACAGATCCACGGGTTGCAGACAGAGCCAGGAACGTGGGAACCACAAACCTGTCCAAGCGAGAGGCAGGGACTGACTTAACCAGCCCAAGGCCAGGTCTGAGTCACAGAGCCTTGAGCCCGATCCAGGATGTGTAGGTCAGCTAAGGCAGAGCCTGGGGTGATTCCCAGGACCCCATCCATGCACCCAACTAACACTGGCCCTTTGCTGGTGGAAACTCATGGCAGGCACCAAGCCAGTCCGGGTGATGTGAGAACCACAGAGGGGAGAGGACAGCTGGACCTGCAGGGGAAAGAGGATGGCTTAGGCGGTAGGGCTGCGGACAGGAGAAATGACCCAAAGGGGTCCCGTCCCTTGGTTCCCGCCAGGCCTTGCGCCGCTGCTCTCTCAGGCTGTCCTAGAGTGGGAAGGGCTAATTTAGGCACAAGCAGCTCCTCGGTGCAGCCTGGCTGCTGCAGGGTTAGCCTGTTATATGGAGCCCATAGGGGGTGAGCCTATGGCCAGGCTGCCACGCCCACAGGAGTACGTGCCGGACACAGGGTCCAGAGGGTAGACCCTGAGAGGCTGCTGCCTCCCAGGGAGCACGGAAGAGAGCCCAGTGGGAAGTGAGGAGCAGGACAGTAGCAGGTGAGCAGGACAGTAGCAGGTGAGCAGCGTCCGGGCTCAGGCACTTAGACCCAGGGGTGTCCCTCTCCCCCTTGAGAGGTGAGAAAGCTGGTTCTGACTGGTACGACGGCCTTCCTTTAACCGGAGGCACTTGCCCAGCTGGTTTGGCTCCACAGTCTTCTGACAATGTGGGGTGTTCTCCGGGGTCCCACACTTGGCACTCCCAGGGCTCTCCAGCTCTCCGTGGAGACCTCTAAGAACAACTAAATATCTGGCTCTTTCTAAGGACTCATTTCTGAAAAATGCCCAGGCGCTTGGCTCCTACTGTCCAGTGCCCTCCAGGTCCCCAGCCCCCACAGTCTCCTCCACTCCTCAGCTGGGGGGCACCGCCTCTCCCAGGAGCGGAGCTCAGCCTGCAACCCCTCCCTTCCCTTGCAGAGCTCTTCCAGATCAAAGGCGAACGAGGCGCTCCAGGTGGGTGCATTGCCCCTCTGACCCCCGCTGCCCTCCCTGAAACGTGCCCCCTCTGACCCCTCGGCCTGGGCTTCCCTGGGCCTCCACTCCTGACCCCTACTTACCTTCCATGGGTCCCCACAGCCTTCCCACAAATGCCCTGGTCCTCAGCTGGTTCTCCTTGGCGCCTGCCGTTTGCACGGCCAGCTTCTGGGCCTTTAACCTGCTCCTCGCCTGAAACGGGAATGGCTCCCTCTCCACTCACCCCTCCAAAGCCAGCCCGAGTCCCTCCCTCAGCTGGCCTCTTCCCCAGCACAGGTGCCTCATTTGTCTCCCATAGTGCTCTTTCCAGGTGCCTATTACCTGACACTTTGCACTTCGCACCCACCAGCTGTGGTCACCTCGAAAATGTGGGCAGCGGCAGCCTGTGGGGCCAGACTGACCTGAGTTCTAGTCCTAAACCTGCCACTAACCAGCTGTGTGACTTTAAGCCAGGTATTTGATCACCTGTTTAGAAGATAATGGAGAGCATTGTACTGCCCTCACGGAGTTGCTGTAAGAGTCAAGTGAGGTGATGTGAAAAAGTGTCTGACAGTAACAGTGTCTGGCTCAGCTGCCTTTTCTCCTACCCCAGCACACACACACATGCACACACACACACACATGCATGCACACATACATGCACACACACATACGCACACATGCATACACACATGCACATACACACACACACACACTTCGCTCACACCCGACTCCAGCCCATTAGCTGAGTGGTAGAAATTTCAAATGTACATGACGCTGTCGGGGCAGAGCTCTTGGGTCTCAGAGTTTTTCCACTGTGGATGGCCTCGTCACACCACTGGCCCGGAGAGTGCTGAGCAAGTCTTGCTGGTGGCAGGAGCCTGGGCTTGGAGGATGGGCAGACCTCTTAGGAGCTGGGTGGCCTTGACACGTTGCTTCCCACTTCTGAGCTCTGTGTCTTCCCCCGTGAGGGGGGATGATGATAGGACCTCCAGGACTGGTGTCAGGATAAAACGATGAATGGAGAAGCGCTTGGTCCAGGGCCCAGCTCGGAGCAAGCACTCCGTAGTGTTGTTGTCGCTGTTGCTATTCTTGCTTCATGACTGTTGTTGGGAAGGTTAAATGAGACCTTGCTTGCACAGCCCCTAGCCTGGCGAATGTTGGCTCCTCCCCTCTACGGAGAGGCTGTTCCAAAATGGAAATCCCTTGAGCGGACAGGATCAGTGTTTACACTTCTTTCAACTCAGGGGGTTTAGTCTGACCTTTAAAATCTGCTCCAACCCTACCCCAGGCACAGTGCACCAGGACCAGACATGGAGCCCCCTCAACACACACCAGCATGGGACAGGCTCCTGCTGGTCCCTCTGTGTGTGTGTGTGTGTGTGTGTGTGTATGATCAACGCTCTCGCTCTCTGTCTCTCAGTCTCTGACAGCCTATTCTATCTGTGTTCTCTCTCTCTTTGGAACCAGAAACCAGAGGCAGGAAATAGCAATTCCGGCAGCCTGGGCTGCAGAAGGTCTGGGCTCCCTCTCAGGCCCAGTTGCCTTCCCAGGTTCTCCACCACCTTGGTTCCCCTGGAAGGCTGTGGTCTCTTGCCTCTCCCCCATGGCCTGCTTGCCTGGCCAGGGCTCCCCAAAGGCACGTCATGCTAGGAGGCCCCATGGAGACCAATAGGTTGGCAGAGAGGAGTCAGTGCCCGCAGCCCTGGGCAGTCCGCTGGTGAAGCTGCGTGCTGCCGGGCTTCCGAAAACACCGCAGGAAGGGGGTGGGGGCGCTTGTAACTAAGTCAAGATTAGCCAAAGGGTAGTGCGGAACCACCCATGCCTCAGTGTCCCTCCTTTGTGTGTCCTGGATTTTTCCTTTCCTTCCGAGAAATGTTTATTGAAAGCCTTGAGGATCAGGCACCGCCCGGGTGGGGATCCAGGGATAAGAAGACAGACAGGACCCCTGCCCCGGGGACCTCCCGGTTTAGGCAGGAGATCACCTTGGAACATGACTCGACAGCCGCCCTGGCTACTGGTCTGAAAGCAGGACGGCTCTGGGGTGGAAAGAGCGTAGAGGGGACCTGACCTGCACAGGGGCCAGGAGAGGCCCCAGAGCCACCTCGTGGTGGAGGCCTGAGGGTGAGGGAAGCCTGGGTCCCAGGCAGAAAGATCCGAGCGCAAGGCCCTGAGGTGGGAGGGAGTCTGGCAGGTCAGGGATGTGAGAGGAGGATTCACCAGCCTGCAGCAGGGGCAGGAGAAATGCAGGTGGGAGACGGGGTGGGGGAGGGGCGGGGCGGGGGCGGAACAGACTGGGCAGGGCCCCTGGTCAGGTGAAGGCACCTTTTATCTGTGCTTAGCTGACTTCTCACACTAGCCCAAGTGGCTGTTGCTGTTATCCCCATTTCACAGAAGAGGAAAGTGAGGCTCAGAGGTATGTTGACTTGTTCAGGCTGACCCAGGAGGGCTGGAAGAGCGGAGTTAGACTCGGGGCCTGAGCCCCATCCCGCCCCAGCGGCCAGGCGACCACCTGGAGCTGGGCAGTCTGTACAGCCTTGGGGGAGGCAGCCTTGCGGACGGGCACAGGAGCCTAGGCCGCACCCTGGAGAGCCCTCCAAGGGGCCTGGGCCCATCCTGTCAAGAAGTGGGCACTTCTCCCAAAGTGCGGGGGGCAGGAGCCTTGGCCCCGATTCCCTAGGAGGAGGAACGGCTCTGCTGGGCTATTTCCTGTGTCCGTGGGGTTTCTGGGTTCTCGCCTCTTCTCTTTGGCTAATAAGGATGGTGAAGGCCCCCTCTGCTGGGTTTCCAGCATGTCTCACCACCTCCTCGAGTCCCCTGAGGACCTGTGAGGAGGTGCTGCCGTTCCCACGTGCAGAAGAAAGCAGCACCCGGCCCAGCGAAGGCCCTCATTCAGGTCACAGCGACCGGGGGCCAGCTGTGAACCCCACACTCCCTTTCCGGAGACCCCAGGAAGTGAGGGGGTCCTGCTCCACTTCCATCCCTCTGGACTCCGTCTTGCGTATAGAAAACGGGTAGATGTTACGGGTTCCGCACGCTGGACCACTACTCCGCTCTGAAACCCACTCAGCCCTCCGTATCCGCGGTCTGCATCCACAGGTTCAACCAACAGCAGATTGAAAATATTTGGAAAAAACTTCCAAAAAGTTGACTCCTAAACAATAAAGTACAACAGCTAGATAGCACGTACATTACGTGAGGTATTGTGAGTAATCTACACATGATTTAAAGGATGTGGAAGGATGTGTATAGGTGGTGTGCAAATGCCACGTCATCTTATATAAGGGACTTGAGCATCCGTGGGTCTCAGTGTCCGTGGCGGTCCTGGAAACAGCGCCCCGTGGGTGCCGAGGGACAACCGTAGGTGGTTCCTCACGGTGGTGCCCGGGCACGGGTGTGGGCTTCGGCGTTGGGAGACCCGGAGTCTGCTGGCCTCTCTCCAAAGGTGTCACGGTGGACAACTCAGTCTTCTCGGTGGGGATGTGGGGACGTGCTGTGGTCTGAATAACTGCCCCCCACCCCAGGTTCATATACTGAAATCTAATGCCCAAGGTGCTGGTGTTAGGGGGTGGGGCCTGTGGACGGTGACTAGGTCACGGGAATGAAGCCCTTTAGCATGGGGTCCGCGCTCTTATGGGAGGCCACGGAGCACCCTGGTTCCTTCCACCAAGCGAGGCCCCGGCAGGAAGCCGGCTGACTGCGACCGGAAGGGGCCCTCACCAGGACCTGCCCACGCTGGCGGCTTGGTCCTGGACTCTCAGACTTAGGAACCGTGGACAATGAATTTCTGGTGTGTATACACCCGCAGTCCGTAGGGTTTGTTACAGCAGCCGGATGGACTAAGACAGGACAAGGAGCCCCGTCCTGCTACCGAGTCATGGTGAGACGTGGGTGGGCAAAGCAGAGCGGCCCCGGGAGAGAGCTGCACGGGAATGGCAGCACGGACCAGGTGCGTTTATCCAGAGCCCGCACCTGGCTCCTCGCGGTCTCCGTGACCAACTCAGGACAGCCCAGTCTAACTGGTATGTCAGCACCGCTTTACTGACCAGAAGGTGAGGCTCGAAACAATGCAGTGACGACAAGGTCACCCTGCTGCCACGGGCCCAGGTCTGCCCAGCTCGGGCTCCCCCAGGGGACGGCACCTGTGTGGCTGGGTCTTGCCTGCTCCGCCCTGAGCTTCTAGTGGGAGGAGCTCTGTCTGGTTTTTCTTCCTCCGCAGTTTGCTGGCCCTGGGTGCTCAGTGAGGTTGTTGAATGAACAATAGCACTGAGTGGCCTTGTCAACCCACATTGTTGGTAGCTCCTCTTCCTCAGGTCTTCCAGGTCAAAAGGGGCCTGGCAGTCCCCACTGAGAGGGGGCCAAGGGGGTCGAGGGACACGATGGAGCCGCTGGTACCCTCCTGGCCCTGCTGTCCTCGTTCTCCTCCCTGCCCAGGCAGCATTCTGAGTGTCTTTTCCTTTCCAGGCTCCCCGGGGCTCCAAGGCCCGCCAGGCGCGAGGGGACAGGCGGGTAAGTAGGGCCGGTGTGTGGCCTGGCGCTCACAGCAGGCTCTCCGGGAGGCTGCGGGGGCTGCAGTCAGGGCCATTCCGAACACTTGGCAGGATCTGTGTGTGACAGCTCCGTGTGACACCCTAAATGGGCGGGGAGAGCTGAGACGCACCCTGCATTGCGGGGGGGCTCTAGATGAGGCTGGAGGGGTGTGCACGCTCCAGTCTCCTCCTCAGGGCTCAGGAGCCAAGCCTGCGAGCGTCGCTGGGGAGAGTCAGGCTCAGGGGTGTAGCAGGGTCTCCAGGGCCTGACGTGCGTGCCTCCAACATGGACAAGCTCCGTGACACTGGGAACATTCTCTTACCTTTCTGAACCTCAGTTTCTTTGTCTATAGAATGGGGTAAGTATGCTTCAGAAGGTCGCTGGGTGATTAGCAGCATTGAAGAGAAACCCATGATTGTTTCTGTCTTTTAGGCTGTAGCCTAAACTTGCCCAGCACCTCACCAGCGGCACAGAATGCTGGGACAGAGAATGTGGGGAGCTCAGCTCCATTCCCCGGGGCAGGGGGACACCGAAATGTCAGATCCCTGGCCCTTACAGCCCAGTTTGCTCTCCACTTAGACTGGCCAACTCCAGATCCTGGAGGGGCGGAGGCTGCTGAGATGCAAACGGGCAAAGACTCTGAGAGGTTACCAGGAGGAGCTGAGAGGAGGGTTTACAAGTAAACAAACAGTCTCCAAACCCCCAGGCACTGCGGCAGGAAGAAAACACCACCAGTACGGAAGGGAAACTTGTTAGCAAGTGAAATCTTTTTGGAGAGATTAACTTTGGAGAGAAATTTAGTAGAATGGATCCTAGAAGTTCCCTGTTCTACATCCCCAGCAGGGGTTCCTCCATGAGGTTTCCGGGGGTGGGGGCGGGGCGCACAATGGGGGGAGAAGTTATGGTGCAGCGAGGGACCCTGTGGGCACTTGCACACCCATGCGCTCACACACGTGTGCACATGTGCCTCTGTGAGCGCCTGTGTGTGGGGGAGGGAGACAGACAGCGATCGGCAGGTGCCTTGCTGACGGAAGACCCCGGGCCGCGGAGTGACTGAGATCTTCCCCCTTGTTTCCTAGGCCTCCAAGGACCCCCGGGTGCTCCAGGGAAGCAAGGAGCCACTGGTAACTCGTGCTTGGGATCGGGGTGCAGGCAGGCAGCTGTCCCCGGTGTCCCTCCCCTCAGCTCCGCCCCAGCCCCAGAGCACTGACACCCTCCTGTAGTCCCCTTCTTCTGAGTCTTAATGTGGCTCAAGATGACCCAAGAGCTGAGCTAACACACCCCAGCCTTCCTCTCGGGACGCCTTTCTCTTGTCCCCGGACGCTTCCTGCCTGCTGCCTGGGAGCCCGTCCCCAGGAGGACGTGGGGAGCCGCCTCACTGGCCATTCCCTTCACAGGCACCCCAGGGCCTCGAGGAGAGAAGGGCAGCAAAGGCGACGGGGGACCGCTCGGCCTGAAAGGGGAAACTGGGGCTAAGGGAGACAAAGGAGACCTCGGCCTGCCAGGTAAGGGCCGGGTTGGGCCTTGGTGCTCGCCGGGAGGCCTGTGTGCTGTCTGCTCAGTGCCCTTGAGGGTGGGCTGTGCTCTGCCACCAGCATCCCGGCCACAGATGAGGCACCTCCCACCCAGGTGAGCAGGACACAGGACTGTGCAAGCTAAGAGCAACGTGAGAGGCGACCGTGTCACACCAAGCATAACGGTGGCAACAGGGACACAGGCAGTACTAGAAGTGGCAGGAAAAGAAAGGGAGGCACCTCCCAACCAGTGTGGCCCAGTGGTTGAGTGTCGACCCTGCACCAAGAGGTCGCTGGTTCGATTCCCAGTCAGGGCACATGCCCAGGTTGAGGGCCAAATCCTCAATGGGGGACATGCAGGAGGCAGCCAATCAATGTTCTCTCTCATTGATGTTTCTATCTCTCTCTCCCTCTCCCTTCCTCTCTTTCTAAAATCAAAAGAAAAAAAATTTTTAAAGAAACGGAGGCACCAAAGTAGGGACCTGAGGTGGGCCTGGGAGGAGGGGAGCCTGGATGGCAGTGAGGGGCTGAGCCCAGAGGGTGCGTGAGGCCCCCCAATGGCGGGCCCTCTCTGGAGCAGTGCTTCTCGAGCTAGGCCATGGGGAGAACACTCTTGGGTGCTGGTTCAAATGCATGTCGGGCCCAACATTCTGTTTTAGAGACCCTGGATGGCCTGACTCTGGGGACTGGGGGACGGCCCTGGGGAGCACTGCCCTGCGGCCCTGAGACAGAGCACCTCATGCTGCTCATCACTCGGCCTCTTCTGTGGCCCTCTGTGGGGCACAGTGGGGGGACTGAGAACCGCAGGGCGTGGCTTGGTTCCATCCGTGCGACTGGGCACACGACCTAGCCGGCTGAGATTTGACTTCTTCATTTCAGAAGAGAGTGGTAACTAAATTAATAACAACTAAATCACACACCTTGCAGGGCAGTTATAAGGGTTAAAGATCATGGTTTCAAACTCTGACACATGGTTGACATGAAATAAGCGACACTCATTGTTAACAGTAGTATTAGTGATCCTGTAAGGTAGGAAGGGAGGAACTTCAGTTCCAAAATCAGACAGATCTGGGTTCTAATATGGCTCACTAGCTGTGTGACCTTGGACAAGTGACTTAACCTCTCTGAGCCTCAATATACTCACCTAAAAAGGAAAATACTGCAACAGGAATATAAGACGTAGGAGGAGCGCGATCCTGTTACTGCACATGGAAGTTACTACAGTATAAGGAAGTAGGCACACCCGCCTGCAGGAAGGGAGCCTCGCAGAGGCCGGTCAGCCGTCCTCAGATATTAGAAGGGCACCTGTGGCAGAGAAAGCAGATGGGCCCTAGTGGTGCCGAGCAGAAGAACAAGGACCAATGGGCAAAGGTTTCAGGAGAAACAACTGCTGTGGTGAGGGAGGAAGAGCAGGCAAGACTTGGGGCTCCCCCGTGGTGAAAGGGGCAGACGAGGTCTTAGGGAGCAGCCTGCTGCTGGGGAGGGGAGAAGTAGGTGCAGAATTCTCCCATGTGCAGCGAAGGGGTCCTTGCATCAGGCAGCTGACTTCTCAGGATGGTTCCCAGGGGGCTTCTTGAGTTCTCTTTGCAACAGGAAAGGGGGGCCCCAACTTCTCTCAAGACGGCCCTGCCAGGCCCAGAGAGGAGACAACAGCCAGGCCTTTGCCCTCCAGCCCTTTTCCAAGGAGCCTGAGCCATACGTTTCCCATGCCCACCCCACCCCCGCCACACAGGAGGGCCGTGAGCCCGCACCCAGACCAGCCTGGGAGCACCATGTTGGCGAGGGAAACGCAGCGTCAGTTCCTCAGAAATCAGCACTCGGACTGCCCTCCTCTTCCCAGACGTCCTCTGCCAGGGTCACAAGCTTCATCTTACCCGCTGCCCGCCCCACCCAGTGGACAGGCCTCGCCAACCCAGTGCGACCTGCCCGGTGGCACTGAGCTTCCCCGCTTTGTCCCGGCAGACAGGGATGCCACAGGGGTGAAGCTCCAGGGCACGCACCCCATGTTTGGCTGTGTCAGACAGCTGTGACTTCTCAGTTGGAGCCTGGCCTTTTCACTGATGCTGCCCTGCTTCTAAGGCTGTCCCCTCTGATGGGGCCGCAGAAGTCATAGCAATACAGACGCAGGCCCAAGTCGCGCTCCAGAGACCTCTGCGGCCACACAGTGGGTCCGAGCGGGGTGGCCTGGCCGGCCCCGAGCAGGGGCACCAGCAGATTCCTCCAGAGAAGAATTTCTGGTTCCTTCTAAGAAGTACCACCTGGCCCGTCTGCCACAGTGAGCACTCCGAGACCAGGAGCTGCCTTCCTGCAGTTTGTGTCTGGGCCGCTGTAAGAGATCTCAGCTCGAACCAAGCTCTTCTACCAAGAAATCATCTTTCTTTAAGTATCCAAAGCATCTCCAAGAATCTAACGTCCAAGCCTTGCCCTGAACATCACTCAAAGCTTAGACCAGATAGGTGTGTACATCAGTTGCTTCTCTCCCTCCTCTTCAGTCGGTTTTGTCTCCTTTCCGCATTCACAAGACAGAAAGCTGGTGGCCTCCTGAGTCTCTCCAGCTGTGACATCATAAAAGTCATGGAATGCGGGCTTTCAACCAGTTCTGTCCACAAGCCAGCACCAGGGCCCAAGGGGCTGGGTCTTTGCTGATGGTGGGACTTCAGCAGCCTCCTGGGCACCCGCCAGCCCAGCCCACAGCCCGGGAGGGGCGCCTTCCGCTGGTGCCGAGCAGGCGCAGGAGGAGGAGGGAGCAAAGGTGGATGGAGTGGACTGGCTGGGACAAGCCATGAATGCTGATGACAAGTGGAAAATTTGAAACCTTGGGCACAAGGAAAGCCTGCAGCCGAGGCCCTGGCAGGAAAATGAGCTGCTGCGATGCTTTCTCCCCATCGGTGCTTCAGAGTTTCTAGGCTCGGGTTTGGTGTCTGTCTTCTGGAATATTCAGATTTCGGTTTGGGAGGCGTGGAAAAGTAACTCCCTACATGAGCCGGGCAGCATGAGTGCAGCCTGGGCTGCGGTCCTTCCCAAGGGGCCTGCGCGCTGACCCGGACCCTGAGAGCCCGGCTTCCAGACCTTCACTGCCCGCAGTGGCCAGGTCGTCCTGCCCATTCTCATGAGCTTGTGTCTTGTCTCTGGGGCAAGGTGAGCTCGAGGACAGCCATGGTATCTCTGAGCGGACGAGCTGCGTCTGAGTGGGGCCTGGTGCCCGGGTTTGCCTCCTCCCATGCCTGATGATGACTCCTCGGTTTTTCAGGAAGCAAGGGGAACATGGGCGTGAAAGGAGACATGGGGGTCGTGGGACCCCCCGGAGCCCAGGGGAGTAAAGGTGACGCGGGGAAACCAGGCCCTCCAGGTAAGAAGTTGCATGGTCAGGTCTGGGCTTATACGTATTCCTTTTTTTTTTTCTTTCCCTGAAAGGCTGAACTATAGGAAAAAAAATTCCTAAAAGTCTTTCTTAATTTTAGGTGTGGCCGGAATTCCTGGAATCAAAGGAGATCAAGGTAAGGACTGTAGGAGTCCGGGCAGAGCCGAGTCCAGGGCCTGACCCTGTCTTCTCCTCCATCGCAGCATTTGCCCAGAGCACCGGGGCTTTCTGGAAGCTGGCGGAGCAAAGCGGCCTACTGGTGCCCCTCTCCAGAGCTCGCCCTCTGTCGCAGGGTTGGAGCGGGACATGCGCAGCCCAGGGTTCCTAGTTAAGTTCTCGAGCCCCAAACTGCAGCAGAGAAGGGACGGAAGTAACAAACTGGCACTGTTAGGCCTACTTCATGGCTTCTAGACTGCCCGGGGAACATAGTAGGTGTTAGGACGCACAAGCCCACTGCTGAGAACAGAGCTGTGTGGAGGGGCTGGCAGCCAGGCCCTCTGCCAACCACCCCAGCCTTGCAGTCACACCTTGTCTTTCAGGACCACCTGGAGCCCAGGGGCTTCAAGGCCCTCAGGGTGCAGCAGGATCCCCAGGTGCCAAGGGTGAGCCTGGCAGCGCTGGCGCCACGGGGCCAATAGGTGAGGTCCTCCGTCCTGGGGTGGGCGTGGGGAGGGAGGCCTGGAGATCCATCCGCCCGGTTCTTATGCTCACCGTGACGTGCACTGTCCAGGACCACCAGGGGTGCCCGGGAGTCCAGGAGCCGAAGGCAGGAAAGGAAGCAAGGGCGACACAGGTAACAGGGTGTGGGTAGGTGGTGGGTGGGGATGCACAGGAAGGAGAACTGGCTCCCTGGGGGCCCTCAGAAGGAGGCGGAGTGGGCGCGCCCTGTGCTCTGTCCCCTGAAGATCCTAGGGCTGTTCTTCCTCTGCCCAGGGTTCCTTAAAGGCCTTGGATGTCCTGACCAATCCTCTAGTGTCAAAGAGAAGAGCAGGGCACCCCGGCCACGCTGTCTCCTTGTTCTGCTCCCCAGCTGTGGGCCTCATTTCCTTTCTCTCCTGCTGACCTGAGTAGGGCCCCAAGGGTCAGGGATTTGGGCAAGTGTGTCAAGAAATCCCTTCCTGAATATTCTCCAGGGTTCTCAGGCAGGGAAGAGTAACCCCCAGCAACTGAACTCACAGAGACCAGGCTCTAAACCATTGTGCCAACTCAGCCTAGGTTATCGGCCATCATACCAATGCGGTCTACTTCATACACCACTGTGCCAGTTTTATCTGTCACTGCACGGGTCTGGGTACCTGCAGTGGTCTGGAAAGACCGGGCCACTGTGGTGGGTGCTGGGCCCTCATGATTCACAAGACCTCACTCCTGCCCTCAAACATACACATTGGTGCAGGCGACAAACAGACGTTGGCCACACCGTGTCAGGCACACTTTGACGTGGGCATCTGCATGGGGCACTGTCAGTTGGAAAGCCAGGTGCGGGCCAGGGGGTGTGGCAGTGTGGGCTGTGAGAAAGGGCTGCGTGTCCGCCTGGGGTGTCGGGGCAGCTGGCTGCAGTCCCCTCCTTTGCCAGCGCCAGGGTCATGCTGGTGCCAGCAAACCTGCATGCCCTCACCCCAGGCCCATGCTGTGGACCCACAACAGAGGCCGGGCCTCTCAGTTTCCATCGATCAAGTGGTTGACTGGTCAATTCCTTAAACAAATGTGACTGGACCCTGTTGACTGCTTCGGGCTGGCAGTGACGGGGTCTGGTGGGGTGGCAAAGGCAGCCCAGCAGGGGTGGGAGAGCTCGAGTGGAGTCTCGGAGGACGAGTGGAGCTCAGACATGTCAGGAGGAGAAGGGAAGCCTGAGAGAGGAGACCGCCGGTGAGGCCGTGGAGGGGTGAGGGAGGGCTCCGTAGGGTGGTGTTCCTGGCATCTGGTTGGTGTCTTAGGTTGGGATGTGGGGGAGTCAGGAGCTCTGGTCAGAGGGCTAGGTGAGGTCGGCCAGCTTTAGACTCTGTGCCTTTGACATTGGGGGTTTTACTGAAGGTTGTCCTGGGCCACGGCGTGGGCAGCTCCTATACCCACTGTTCTTCCAATCCATCCAGGCTTGGAGCTGATTTCTTTTTCACACACTGGGTCAGGATAGGCAGGGGCTGGGCTGCCTGATGCCACCTGAAGGCCACCAGCAAGCTCTCACCTTCCAGAAAGACTCCATCTGAGTGTGGTGGCAGGTGGCCTAACGTGTCGGCCCACCCTCCTGATCTTATACCTCCCTCTGTCCTGGAGAGCTTAGGGTGTTTGACATTGGGGCCTGAGGCTGTCTTGGCTTCATGGGGATGATGGCTTTCCTCCCTCACCTATAATCAGGGAGCATCCCTCCCCCTCCACACCCCACTATTGCTAGACTAAGCAAGAATATTTGGGGTGAAACAGGAGTTTACCCGAAGGGGCGGAGTGCCCTGTCCCCAGGCCCTAGTCTGTGTCTCCCACTGTCCGAGAGCAGAGGATCTGGCCTTGCACTCTGCATCCAGGGACGTTTTGCACACCGAGAGCAGCTCCCTGCAGCGACATTTACACGCCAATCCAGTGGGCTCAGTGCCCTTGTGATGCTGTTTCACAGCAAGAGATGCAGCCAGGGTTCAAATCCAGGCCTGGCAGGTCCAAAGCTGAGGCTTTATCTGTTCCGCCGTATCATGCCATCTTCCTCCTCGTCCCCCAGGGCGCTCCGGCACACTCCCCTCCGTCACTGTCGAAAGGCCCCGAGCAGAAGCGCAGCAGCTTCTTCCGCTCTTAACGGGAATCCCAGAGCTCTGCCCGCTGTGGCTCTTCCTGGCTTACCCACTACCCACTCCCGCTCAGCACACAGCCGGGGACCATTTCACTCCATCCTCGAGTCTTTGTCTGTTCACTGGGCACCTATACAGGGATCTCCATCAGTCAGACCTATTGGTAAATCCAACCAGGCAAACTCTAAGGGTACACATGGTGAATGCCATGTTTTCACTTCGAGGCATATGATAACCACAGCTTATCTACACGCACACAGTTTCCCACACAAACCCAGTGCCTGCCTCGAGCGAGCAGCTGGTGGTCCGTGTGGACAGCTCAGAAGGGAAGTCCCATAGATAGGACCACAGTCGGGTCCATCATGGCAGATCTAGAGGTTAATGAACTTTGGGAGGGGTTAGGTTTCTGAAGTGGGAGAAGGAAGGCCAGGTGGTGCGTGGCGGCCAGATCCCATCATGGAAGATAATGCTTTGCACTGTCAGGACGTTGGTATTCCCCAACTAAAGGTCCTAGGGTGTTGGTCCACTTTTGATTATATTTAGCCAGTTTTCCAAACTGATATAGTTTTCCCGTTTTGTAAATAAAATCATTAATCTCTCAAGAGGATATCTGGCTGTATTGGATGAAAACAGAGAAATTACAGTGCCTTGGCTTGACCTGGGTAACAGCTAGCTTTCAATATGTGCATTAATAATAAAAACAAGAGGTCTGTTTATTCTCAACAATGCCTCTGGGCCAGCCCCTGTGCTTGGGACTGTATTCCCATGATCTTAGTTCATCTTCCCACACAGCTGAGTTTCGTCCTCCCTGCTACCCGATAGCCAGGGAAGCAACGGCTCCCGGAAGTCAAACGCTCTCCTCGGGGTCTCGCAGTTAATACACACTGAGTCCAGCAGTTAATTTCAAAGTCTGATCCCAAACTGGGGCGTTTCCAGACTTTGTTGTATAGAATAACAGGACGTATAGGACTCAAGATAAATCAGAATTGCCCGTACCCTCCACCCCACAGTAGAAGGGTAAACCCTGGCTTAGTCACCAAGTCTCCCTGCTGTCATGAACAGCCACTAACCACACTCCAACCCATTCTGGTGAAATGTTTCCTGAGAGAAAGGGGCCGTCTCGGGTCAGGATGGCGAAGAGGAGCCCCTTCCCGTGCCGGGAAGATGAACTGCACAGCTCACTGTGTGGGCTCACCCAGCAGGGCTTCCCCAATGGTCCTTTTTACCATTCACCAAACGGGTTTAGCAAACTCCCAAAACTTAATTTTTCTAATCTTTGATCTTTTAAACAATCACAAAATCATTAAAATATATATATTTGGCAAAAAACAAAAAAACCCATAACAGAATGAATTTTTGCTGAAAGTTCCGTGAAGTTTGTTTGGAAACAAGGGCGGTCTCACTCCAGTTTGTCAGAATGGCATTTCTCTTTCTCTTTCCATCTCATGGGCTGATGTCAGAAGCAGCCACAACGTGTAAACTCCAAAATACCAAGCTGATCAGAAATTCTGCCTCTCAACAGCCTTCAAGTCAAAAGTATAACCAAAACCTGAATTTTCTGTTTTTTTATTTTCCTCTGGAGCAGCAGTTCTCAACCTGTGGGTCGTGACCCCTTTGGGGGTCAAATGACCCTTTCACAGGGGTCGCCTGAGACCATCAGAAAACACATACAGTGATACCTCGGTTCTCGAATGTCTCGGATTTCGACCAAATCGGTATTCGACCAGGAGATTCGAGAAACTTTTGTCTTGGAATCCGAACAAATATTTGGAACTCGAACTTCCGAGATGAGCCGAGTTGAGCCGAATGGCGTTCATTCGGCCCAGCGCGCCTTGCTTGCGTCATCAGCGTGAGTGCAGAGAGAGAGTCACGCTTTGTGGAGAGAGTCACGCTTTACACTGAATTTAACCCTTAGACATACTGTACACTTTTATTTCTTGTTGAGACTTATGTTTTTCTACATATTATATACAAATTAGGCCAGTAAATAGGCATATTCTGGGGCTTGGAACGAATTAATCCAGTTTCCATTATTTCCTATTGGGTTTCATTGCTTCGGTTCTCGAACAATTTGGTTCTCGACCGTCCTCCTGGAACGAATTATGTTCGAGAACCGAGGTATCACTGTATTTCCAATGGTGTTAGGAATCGGGACCCCGGCCCTCTGTCTGTCCCCGGGCGGGGCCGCCCATGTGCAGACACGCCCACAGACAGCCGAGGAATGTACTAAAGGGTCGCGGCATTAGAAGGTCGAGAACCTCTGCTCTAGAGGCAAACCCAAAGTGCAAAATAACTTAATCTATCTTCTCACCTGTATTTTACAATGTTTTACTTTAAAGGTAAGCAATAAAAAATAATCCATAATGGCAATCAAGCCCTATATTGTGAATTTAATTTCTTAGTTAATTCCATTCCCTAAATCTAAGTGCTGAGTTAGTCTAAGAATCTAATAAATACGACCAAGTCATATTACTAAATTGTCACTTATTAATTCTTTTTATCCTCACCTGAGGATATTTTTCTGTTTATCTTCAGATAGAGTAAGAGAGAGGGAGGGAGAGAGAAAATCATCAACGTGAGAGGGACACATCGACGGGTTGCCTCCCATACAACCCTGACTGGGGCCGGGGACAAATCACAACTGAGGTGTGGGCCCTTGACCGGAATCAAACCCTCGACTCATCGGTCTGCGGGCCAATGCTGTAACCGCTGGGCCAAATTGGTCAGGGCATCACTTATTAATCTTTTCCTTAGTTTTCTGTAAGTTTCTTAGAGACATTTGCAGGAGTCTACCTGCCTCCCAGTTTTGGGTCGGCTACTCACCCTCTTACTTCTTGACACACAGCTCAATTAGCCAGTTATGAAATTAATCCTAACTCGGCCAGGCTGCACTTAGCCTGTGTATCAGGATGGGATTGAAGGAAGTTTCCTAATGTACCGGAAATGTCTGCATCAGGCCATCAGGAGACCTGCCACCGAGGAGCTTGGTGTCAGTGGGTTGGCACTGGACCTCCCTGGGCCTGTTTCCTCCTCCGTGAGGTGTGAGGAGGAATCTAGAATAATATCTGGGTCCTGCCAAGCCAGAAGCACTCTGGGGTTGAAATAGGCAAATTTTCCCTTGGAGCAGGGACGTTCTAAGGTTTTAGGCAGAACACCAGTTACACACTAAACAATAGGAAGGCATTTGCTTTCTAACTAAACTATTTTGGGAGGAGAAATATCTTCCCTCAGTAAACACCTGGCAAATAAATATGTTGTGCCCTCTCAGCTTATAAGGTTGTGACACCCAGGGAAACCCTGTTTGTGGTTTAGAAGAAACTCCAGAATTCATTCACCTTCCAGAGTAGTTTTATATACACTTCTAGGCTTTTTACTGTTTTCTCTCTCCCTGATCCGATAAGGATGCTGCCTTGACTTAAGAGAAGTAACCACGAGTCCTGTGTCGGACAGTCGGTGCGCAGCTGCACAGTGAACACCCCCTAGAGAGCAGTGAGGCCGAGAGAGAAATCACGCAAAACTCAGTTCCAGGTTCCTCCACTCGAAGAGGGGAGTTTTGACGACAACTCCACCACCCATTATACACACACAGATCAGAGGGCACTTCCTCAAGGCCGGAGGTCCCTGACCTGGGAGGGGCTGGGCCGTCCTCACAGACTGCTTACAGGAAGCTGGCTGTGAGCTGGTCCCAAAGGCCGGATGAGCTGTGGTTGGGGCAGGGCTACGAAAGGTGCTCCCTGGACCAGCAGCAGCAGCAGCACCTGGTACCTGTTAGAATGCAGAGTCTCAGGTCCCACAGGGGCCACAGTGAAATCAACCAACCAAGCCATTGAACATCTACTATGGGCGAGGGCCCCCAATGCTCCTGGTGGCCACTGAGTACCCTCCACGGTCTTTTGGAAATAAAATAACTTTATTTTCAAAACATCTCTCAATACTTTTCCAATAAAATGCAGCAGGAAGGAGTGGAATTGGGTTTAGACCCCAAGTCCGGCCATCGCTGGCAGGGGAGGCCAGCCGGTAAGCTGGGGGGCTGCCCGTCTGACTCCGGCTTCCATCCAAAGCTCTGCGGTGCCGGCCGGCGCGGCGGCCCACGCGCTGCAGTGGCCTCTGGGCGCTCAGCGGAAGGGGCTTTCAGCAGGCCTGGAGAGCCAATGTATCTTCCCTCTGCATTAATCAAAGGTAGAGGCTGTCTAAGATTAAAAGTGTCTAATATCCAAGTTTTATTATCCTCTCCCCTTTTTTTGTATTTTGACGTTAGGACTTCAAGGACAGAAAGGAACAAAAGGAGAATCAGGAGTCCCAGGTAAGGGGCCGACTCTTAATTTCCCCGCAGTGACGGCTGGAAAGGCTCAGGCTTGGCTCGTTGACTTTGAACGCACGGCTCTGACCTTCCCCCAAAGTGACTGGGGCCCCAGACTCTCTGAGGCTAAGACGTCTGCTCTCTGTCACTCAAGCCTCAGATGTTCTCCCTGGGAAACCTGGGGAATGACAGGGACTCTGTGAACTGAGGGGTATAGGAGATGGACACGGGGGTAGGGTGGTGAAGAGTAAAAAGTGTCAGGAGGTCGGGTAGTGGCTTCAGGCTACTACCCCTGCCCTGCCTCGGTCTCCTCACTACACTGTCACCATCACCCGCAATCATTCAGCCATGCTGGTGGTGGTACTGTGAGGCCCTCTCCATACAGCATCTCGTCTTCTCAATGCCCGACCCCAAGGAGTGTCAGAGCAACGCTTCCCAGACAGACAGCTCGAGCAGTCCCTCGTCCTCAAAAACTGCACACTCTATTCCTATTTCAACTTACGAAGGAGAAACTGAGGCCTAGAAGCATTCTAGCAAATCCTTCCAGAATGGCTAGAACTTCCACACAAGTATGTAGTCCGATGAGGATCAACCATCTCTGGAATCCTGTCAGCAGTTTCTCAACCAGCATTTACATGGGAGTTGGGGGTTAGAGTGGCACCCACCCGCTCAGCATGCAGACCAAAGACACCAGCTGAGCATCCAAACAGCTCCATTCACGGGAACCCTGCTAAGGACAACTCACTCATTAAACACCAAGGCCCTTGGACACCTCCTAAAGCACAGCAGAGCATCTGAGGGAGGGGTCCTTCTCGCTCCAGGACCTGCAGGCATGAAGGGAGAAAGGGGCAGCCCAGGCCTGGCAGGACCCAAGGGTGCATCTGGACCAAGTGGCCAAAAGGGAGACCCAGGAATGAAAGGTAAGGCCTCTGTGTCTCCTTTGAGGGTTCGAAGGAGAGGCCCTGATGTAAGGCACTTGGGAGTTTTCAGATGCAGAGGTCAAGGTCTGCTGGATAAGTTTTGAGCTGGGGTTGGCCTCAGCGATGAGCCTGCAGGGTGAGTGAGGCAGTCCAGACTCAGAGCGGGCATGCGCACACGCAGTCTCTCCATGCCTGGCCATGCCCCGGCTACCTGCTCTGCCTCCAGGACTGACCAGAGCTTTCCAGAAAGGAGAAGCTTCCCTCCCCATGTCTCTTACCTGTTAATGTGCCTTGCTGATCTAGCTCAAATCCTTCCTGCTGTGGCATATGTCCATTCCTTCATGCTGCACCATTGGTGCCCATGGAACACCCCGTCGCCATAATGCCAGGTCACCAGCAAAGCTGGGAAGAGAATCTGAACCGCTCCCCACCCCTCCACCCTCCTCCTCACTGCCGGCCAAGGAGGGCAAAGGAGTTGTGGCCTGGTTTCCTTCGAATCACGTGCTTTTTCTCCTTGTGACAGGATCTTCTGGGCCACAGGGAGCAAAGGGAGAAAAAGGTCAAAAAGGTAACTACTGTTTTTATTCTCTTTAATGTGTGCTTTAGAGTCAATTCTGTACTTGAAAATTGTATGTGTGGTTGGTTGGGGGAGAGGCCTTGGTTCTCAGAGAAATTCCTTATTTTTGACAAAGGTTAATGGGCTCTTACTGTGAAGGAGCCTGCTCATAGTAATCACCACAGAGCAACGGTTTTCCTCCTTCCTCCCCCTTCCTCTCTCCTTCCTTCTTTTCCTCTCTTCTTCCACCCTCCCTCCATTCTTTTGTCTCTCCCTCTCTTCTCTTCTTTTTTTCTCGCAATTGTTATTAAGTTTTGTTATAGATGTTTCTTTCTTTTCCTCCATTGACACCCTCCTCCCAACCCGCCCCCACCCCCGGCATTGTTGTCTATGTCCATTGGTTACTCACACATGCATGTAAGTTCTGTGCTTTATCTCTTCCCTCCCCCACCCCATCCCGCTCCTCTTTGTCAGTCTGTACCCCACTTCCACGTCTCTGGGTCTATTTTGTTCATCAGCTTGTATTGTTCATTATAATACACAAGTAAAATCATGTGATATTTGTCTTTCTCTGATTGGTTTATTTCATTTAGCATAATACTCTCCAGGTCCCTCCATGTCATCTCAAAAGATAAGAGATCTTTCTTTCTTACAGTTGCATAGTATTCCACTGTGTACATGTACCACAACTGTTTTGTCCACTCATCTATTGATGGACACTTGGCCTGTTTCTAGATCTTAGCAATTGTAAATAGTGCTGCTATGAACATAGAGGTAAATATATTCTTTCTGATAGGTGTTTCAGGCTTCTTAGGATATATTCCTAGAAGTGGGATCACTGGGTCAAAGGGCAGTTCAATTCTTAATTTTTTGAGGAAGCACCATATTGTTTTCCATAGTGGCTGCACCAGTGTACATTCCCACCAGCAGTGTTGGTTGATGATTCATTGATGGCAGTCGTTCTGGCAGGTGTGAAGTGATACCTCATAGTCATTTTAATTTGCATCTCTATGGTGATTAGTGACATTGAGCATTTTTCGTATGTCTTTTGGCCATTTATGTGTCCTGTTTAGAGAGGTGTCTATTTAGGTCCTCTGCCCATTTTTTAATTGGGTTCTTTGTCTTCCTTTTGTTGAGTTGTATGAGTACTCTATATATTTTGGAAATTAACCCCTTATCTGATGTATCGTTGGCAATTATGCTCTCCTATACAGTGGGTTCCCTTTCCATTTTGATGCATGTTTTTTGGGGTTTTTTTTTTTGCTGTGCAGAAGCTTTTTAGTTTGACATAGTCCCATGTATTAATTTTTCCCTTTGTTTCTCTTGCCTTGGGTGTTGTATTAATGAAAATTCTGCTGTGTGTGATGTCTGAAATTGTGTTGCCTACATTTTTTTCTAGGACTTTTATGGATTCACGAGTCACATTTAAATCTTTTATCCATTTGAGTTTATTCTTGTGTATGGTATAAGTTGGTGGTCTAGCTTCATTTTTTTGCATGTAGCTGTCCAATTTTCCCAACATCATTTATTAAAGAGGCTTTTTTTTTACTCCATTGTATGTTCTTGCCATCTTTGTCAAATATTAATTGAGCATAATGTCTTGGGTCAATTTCTGGGTTCTCTGTTCTGTTCCATTTATCTATATGCCTGTTCTTGTGCTAGTACCAGACTGTTTTGATTACAGTGGCTTTGTAGTATAAGTTGATATCTGATATTGTGATCCCTCCTACTTTGTTCTCTTTTTTCAAGATTGCTGTGGCTATTTGAGGTCTTTTTTGGTTCCAAACAAACTTTTGCAGTATTTGGTCTAGTTTCATGAAATATGTTGGTATTGTAATAGGGATTGCATTGAATCTATAGATTGCTTCGGGTATTATGGACATTTTAATGATGTTAATTCTTCCAATCTGTGAAGAAGGTATATGCTTCCACTTTTTTCTATATCTTCCTCTTTTTCTTTTTTCAATGTCCTATGGTTTTCTGAGAACAGGTCACTTACTTCTTTGGTTAAGTTTATTCCTAGGTATCTTAGTTTTTTTTTTTTTTTTTTATTGCAATGGCAATGGTAAATGGGATTGTTGTTTTAGTTTCTCTTTCTGTGAGTTCATTATTGGTGTATAAGAATGGCATCTATTTCTTGATGTTCATTTTGTATCTTACTACTTTTCCAATCTTATTTATCAGTTCTAGTAGATTTCTTTTCTTTATTGATATTAGAGAGAGAGAGAGAGAGAGGAAGGGAGGGGGAAGGAGAGATAGAAACATTTATGAGAGAGAACATCAGTTGGCCACCTCCTGCCTGCCCCCCACTGGGGATGAGGACCACAACCTGGGCATGTGCTCTAACTGGGAATTGAATCCATGACCTCTTGGGTCAACATTCACCCACTGAGCCACACTGGTGGGGCTCTAGTAGATTTTTTATGGAGTCTTTAGGGTTTTCTTTGTACAATATCATGGAAATAATGACAGTTTCAGTTTCTCCTTTCCACTTAGCATCCCTTTCATTTTTCTTATTGTGTAATTGTTGTGGCTAAGATTTCCAGTACTATTTTAAATACAAATGGCTAAAGTAAGCATCCCTGTCTTGTTCCTGTTCTTAATGGAAATGCTTTTAGTTTTTTCCCATTGAGTATGATGTTGGCTGTAGGTTTTTAAAAAATGGCCTTTATTATGTTGAGATATGATCCCTCTATTCCTACATTGCTGAGTGTTTTTATCAGAAATGGTGTCTGGATTTTGTCAAATGCTTTCTCAGCATGTATTGATATGATCATATGGTTTTTTATCTTTCATTTTGTTTATGTAGTGTATCACATTTATTGATTTGTGAATATTGTACTGGCCTTGCATTCCTGGGATGAATCCCACTTGGTCATGGTGAATAATTTTTTTGATGTATTGCTGGATCCAATTTGCTAATATTTTGTTCAGGATTTTGGCATCTATGTTCATCAGGGATGTTGGCCTGAAGTTTTCTTTCTTTGTAGTATATCTGGTTTTGGAATTAGAATTATGCTGGCCTCATAAAATGAATTTGGAAGTCTCCCGTCTTCTTGGATTTATGGAAAAGTTTGAGGAGAATGGGTGTTAGATCTTCTTTGAATTGTTTGGAAAAACTCCCCTGTGAAGCTGTCCAGACCTGGGCTTATGTTTGCCAGGAGTTTCTTGATTACATCTTCAATTTCCTTAGTTATTACTGGTCTGTTCAAGTTTTCTATCTCTTCCCGGTTCAGTTTTGGGAGACCATGTATTTCTACAAATTTGTCCATTTCACCTAGATTGCCCAATTTGTTGGTGTATAATTATTGATTGCATTTTTTAATGATCCTTTGTATTTCTGTGGTGTCAATTACTTATCCTCTTTTGTTTCTGGTTTTATTTATTTGGGTCATCTCTTTTTGTTGTTGTTGTTGACTCTGGGTAAGGGTACATCAATATTGTTTATCTTTTCAAAGAACCAGCTCTTTTGAATTGGTTTTTGTTTTTGTTTTTTAGTTTCTATGTTGTTTATTTCTGCTCTGCCCTTTACTATTTCCTTCCTTCTACCTGCTCTGGATTTTTCTTTTTGTTTACTTTCTAGTTCTTTAAGTTTAGGGCTAGAAAGTCAATTAGAAATTTTAATTATTTCTTGAGGTAGGCCTGTAGTGCTATGATCTTCCCTCTCAGGACTGCTATTGCTGCATCCCATAGATTTTGTGCTGTTGTGTGTTCATTTTCATTGGTTTCCAGGAAGTTTTAATTTCTTTTTTAATCTCCTTGGTAACACATTCATTGTTTAATAACATGCTATATTAGCCTCCATGTGCTTAAATATTTTTGCATGTTTTTGTTGTAATTGATTTCTAGTTTTATACCATTTTGATCTGAGAAGATGCCGGATATGACTTTAATCTTCTTGAACTTGTAGAGACTTAGTTTGTGTCCTAACATGTGGTCTATTTTTGAGAATGTCCCATATGCACTTGAGAAGAATGTGAATTCTGTAGTTTGGGGGTATAATTCTCTGTAGATATCTATCAAATCCATTTGATCTAGTGTATCACCTAGAGATTCTGTGTCCTTGTTAATTTTTTGTCTAGAGGATCTACCCAGTGATGTCAGTGGGGCGTTGATGTCCCTTGCTATGATTGTATTGCTGTCGATTTCTCTTTTGAAGTCCTCCAGACGTTTTTAAATGTATTTTGGTGCTCCTGTATCGGGTCCATATATGTTTAGCAAGATTATATCTTCCTGTTGAATAGATCCTTTCAATATTATGTAGTGGCCTTCTTTGTCTCTAGTTATGGCCTTCATTTTGAAGTCCATTTTATCACACATGAGTATTGCTACCCTAGCTTTTTTTCCTTTTCGTTTCCTTGGCAAATTTTTTTCCATCCCTTCACTTTCAACTTATGTGAGTCATTTGTTGTGAGATGGGTCTCTTGTATACAACATATATATGAGTTATGCTTTCTTATCCATTTAGCTACTCTGTGTCTTTTGATCATAGCATTTAATCCATTTATATTTAAGGTTATTATTGATAAAACTTATTTATTGCCATTTTTTATTATGGTTAAGCTTCTCTTTCTATTTCTTCTGCTTGTCATAGCAGTCCTTTGAACATTTCTTGGAGTGCTGGTTTGGTGCTAATTTATTCCCTTAGCCTGTTTTTGTCTGAGAAGCTCTTTACTTCACCTTCTATTTTGAATGATAGCCTTGCTGGATAGAGTAGTCTTGAATTCAGATCCTTGTTTTTTATTACCTTGATTACTTCTTGTCATTTCCTTCTGGCCTGTACTGTTTCTGTTGAGAAGTGAGCTGATAGTTTAATGGGAGTTCCTTTATATGTAACCTGTTACTTATCTCTTGCTGCCTTTAGGATTCTCTCTTTGTCTTTAACTTTTGGCATTTTAATTATTATGTGTCTTGGCGTGGGCCTCTTTGGGTTCTTCTTACTTGGGGCTCTCTGTGCTTCTTGAACTTGAATGGCTTCTTTCTTCATCAAGTTAGGGAAATTTTCTGTCACTATTTTTTCAAATATATTATCTAACCCTTGCCTCTTTTCTTCTTCTGGCATACCTATGATGTGGGTGTTGTTATGGTTCACGTTGTCCCACATTTCTCTTAGGCTGTCTTTCTGTTTTCTAATTGTTTTTTCTTTTTGGTTTTCTGATTGAGTTATGTTTTTCTACCCTGTCTTCTAATTCCCTGATTTGTTCCTCCATTTCTTCTACTTTGCTGGTTATTTCTTTCAATGTGTTCTTTATTTTTTCTATGTCATTCTTCATTTCCAATTGGTTGGTTTTCAATGCTTCTATATTGTTATTCATACTACTGAGTTTCCTTCTGATTATTACTCTGAACTTTCCCTTTGATATCTTGCTCAATTCCATTTTATTTATTTCTTCTCCTATCAAATTATTTTGCTCTTTTATTTGGGATTTGTTTCTTTATTTCACCATTTTGGCTGTTTCTGTGGATTTTGGACCCTGCCAGGTTTTTCCTGTGGGTGTTGGTGTTCTGCTGATTATGGCTCCCTCTACTGGGTTTAGAAGAGTGTGGGGGGACCCACGTTAAACACTATGGTCAAGCCTTATACTTTCCTGGGTAGATTTTCAAGTGAAGGAAAGATTCAGTTATCCTCTGGCCTTTTGCCTGGAGACTATTAGTCTCAGATACTTGACGAGCCTGAGTTTGTAGCCCTCAGCTGAATGAAAAGTCCTTCAGCTATAAGAGGATTTCCATTGGGTGGGGCAATTGCTCACTATCAGACTTTGGATGTTAATGAGCTTCAATTTGCATTTCTCTGGCTTGGCCTGGTGGTGTTGAATTCTACCAGAGTGGCCATGGCTGTTACTTCTCCCTGGATGTCTGGGAAGGGGCTCTTTGAGTAATATGGCTACTGTCCTGTGAGGGAGTGATTCAGTACAAAATCCCTGGTGCCCTCCCATTCAGCTCTCAGGTCTCTCCTGAGGTAGGAGCTCAGTTCCAGTCTAGTCTTTCCTCCCTCTGCCAGAGCCCAAGGTGAGTGGCTGTAGCTGATTTGGTGCTTAAAAAAAAAATCCCGCTTTCCACTGCTACTCAACCACCTCCACAAGTGACACTCAATGAGCAGACTCAGTGGGTACCAGAGCCTTGCTGAAGTAAGTCTTGCACTTTGTGGTGGGCCCCTGCACAGCTGATCATCCAAGGTAGTCAGAGGTCGGTGGATAGTGGGCACAGCCAGTCCTTGCAGCTGATCAGCCTAAGTAAAACTTTCTCATTGATGTGCCAACAGTACAACAAGACTCAATTACAGCAGAAGGGTGTAAAGTCTACATGAGGTGTACACCTCGAGGGACCAGCTGGGAGATCAGGAAGGCAGTGCCACTGGACCCTACAGGACACCTACTACAACAGGCCACACTAGGAAGCACAGGAGACATAGCAACTCTACCTAATACATAGAAACAAACAAGGAAAGGCAGTCAAAATGAGGAGACAAGGAAACAGGTGCCAAATGAAAGAACAGAACAAAACTCCAGGAAAAGAACTAAGCAAAATGGAGATAAGCAACCTAACAGATGCAGAGTTCTGTTATAAGGATGCTCAATGAACTTAGTGAGAATTTCAATAAACTCAGTGAGGGCCTCAAAGGCATAAAAAAGGACCAGTCAGAAATGAAGGATGCACAGTCAGAAATGAAGGAGGCACTAACTGAAATAAAGAATAATTTACACAAATTCAATAGTAGAGTAGGTAAAGCCAAGAAGCAAACCATCAATTTAGAATATAAGCAAGCAAAAAACACCCAATCAGAATAGCAAAAAGAAAAAAGAATCCAAAAAAATAAGGGTAGTGTAAGGAACCTCCTGGACAACTTCAAGCATACCAACATTTGCATCTTTGGGGTGCCAGAAGGAGAAGAGAGAGAATAAGAAATTGAAAAACTATTTAAAACAATAATGACAGAAAACTTCCCTAACTTAGTGAAGAAAACAGACATATAAGTCCAGGAAGCACAGAGCATCCCAAACAAGATGAACCCTAAGAAACCAAGACACATCATCATCAAAATGCAAAAGGTTCAAGACAAGGAGAGAATCTTAAAAGCAGCAAGAGAAAAGCAGTTAGTTACCTACAAGGGAGTTCCCATAAGATTGTCGGCTGATTTCTCAAAAGAAAGGCCAGAAGGGAGTGGCAAGAAATATACAGAGGGATGAAAAGCAAGAACCTACAACCAAGATTACTCTGTCCTGCAAAGCTGTCATTTAGAATCAATGGCCTTATAAAGAGTTTCCCAGACAAGAAAAAGCTAAAGGAGTTTATCACCACCAAACCAGTATTATATGAAATGTTGAAGGGTCTTCTTGAAGGAGAGGAACAAAAATATGAACAATAAAATGGCAATAAATACATATCTATCAACAATTGAATCTACAAAATGAACAAGCAGAACAGAAACATTCTCATAGATACAGAGAACATTTTGTTGGTTGCCAGATGGGAGGTGTTTGGGGAGAATGAGTGAAAAAGATGAAAGGATTAAGAAGTACAAATTGGTTGTTAGACTGGGATACCTCAAAGGGAAGAGGGGTGGAAGGTGGGAAAAAATAAACCAAAAAACTTATATTCATATATGCATAACCAATGGACACAGACAACAATGTGGGGGAAGGCAGGAGGGTGTGAGAGTGGGGGGAGAAGGCCAATAGGGGAAAAAGAAGGAACATCTGAAATACATTCAACAATAAAAATAAGTTAAAAAATTTTTTTAAATGTTAATACAATCAAAAGGCAGAAAGGACCTCAGTATTTGTAGGGGAGCTCACTTTAGAGATGCAATATGGCTCCCTCAGCAAAGGCATCTGGGAGATGTTGAACTCTCTGTGCCTATTGCATTGTGACTGTTTAACTCTCTGTAACCTCACAGTTGGCTGACTGTCCTGAAAACCAGAATTCTGCCCAAAGATTACAAATGTCATGCTCCCAGGAAGGAAAGTAACAAATGTATAGAGTGTGATAACCGCCTGATGTTATCTTTTAACTTTTCTTTTAACTCAGCGATGCGTTGTTCTCTCTAGAAGTCTACAAAACTACCTGCCATCTGGTTTTACTATTAACCCCTGTATTTACCCCCCTTTAGAAAGTAACTCTGTCCTGGGAGGGGTGTGGATTCTTGCTGGCTGCCCCTACTGGGAGCAGCTGCTTTGCCCGTGTATGTAACTTTCTCCTATTAAAGCTTATATGAATTTGAAAAATAAATAAATAAATAAAATTAAAAAAAAAAAAGCTCTCTCAGTGGGAAGCGCACACTGCTGATACAGCCCTCATTACTGTCCATGGGCTCCCAGCCAGCCCACACACACCCAAGCAGTTCTTCCATTCACACAAAGCCTAGGCTGCCTCCCTCACCTCTCCCACGTGTGTTTCACCCAGGTGACTTGATGTCAGCTGTCAGGATTGTCGGCTCTGCAAAGCGAGGCCGAGCTGAAATTCATTACAGCGGTATCTGGGGGACAATCTGCGATGATGGCTGGGACAATTCGGACGCCACTGTCTTTTGCCGCATGCTTGGTTACACTGCGGGAAGGGCCCTTTTCAATATGCAACCTGGTAAGTGAGTGCTCCACCACCAGGCTCTTTCCTTGAGGAATTAACATGGGCTTTCTCTTCCTTCAGTTGCAAGTGACTTGGTGTCATTTGGGTTAAATGAAAAGGATTTGTTCAAGCAACTGAAAAGGTCTACAGCTCAGGGCCCTAAGCTTACATCCTTGCAGCATGGCAGCCTTAGAAGTGTGACCTTTCTTCCCCAAGAGTGATAGCAAAGGCTTGGTTGGGGCTCCCACTGGCCTGGCCTGGGTCAGTGTCTGTCCACCCTTGAGCCAGAGTGCAGCCTGGCTGAGAGTGTTTGGGAGCTCTGACTGTCTGGAGGACAGCTGAGGGCCTGGCACTTCGAGAGCAGAGAGCAGCTCCAGGGCAGGCACGGGAGTTTGTTCCGGCCACCTGGAAGCCAGAGGCCTGGACTGCTCACACTGTGATCATCAGGAAGGAGAAGGAGAAGGTGCAAAGCAAAAGAAAGCAAATCAGAGCATGGACTTCCTAAGGTCATTTAGGGTGCTAGAGTATCTTTCAGCAAAAGGTTCAAACTTTCAATAAAGGAGTTAAGTCTGCAGGCTGAGACCATTTCTTCAGCCATAAGAGCTGGCCTGGCAGGCACTCTAGGGCCTTGTCTCCTGCTCCACCCCCAAGCCTTTCTGCCCTTACTCCTCCCCAAAGTGCATAACTCTTTTTTAATCTGAGTCCCATTGGATTATAAAACAACTTTAAAATACACATTTTCCTCATATAGGTTGTCACACTGTGGTGTAAATTTCTGTAATCAGATAATCTAACTGTTTTTCTCTGAGCTATTGGTCTGAAATCAATCGTATCAGAAGAAAGAGAGTTTGAGGAAGGCGAATGCTTGGGCGGAGCATGGACCCACCGCAGTGAGTTAGCGGAAGAGAAGAATGCTGGGGGACCCAGGAGGAGATTGCAAATAGTTCGTGGATTAGTATGAAATACTTGGATGAGCCCAGCCAGCGTGGCTCAGTGGATTGAGCATTGCTCCATGGACTGAAAGGTCCTGGGTGATTCCCAGTAAGAGCACATGCCCAGGTTGCAGGCTTGATACCCAGTAGGAGGCGTGGAGGAGGCAGTGGATGGATGTTGCTCTCTTACATTGATGTTTCTATCTCTTTCTCTCCCTAAAAACTCAAAATATTTTTTAAAAATAATAAAAATAAATAAATACTTGGATGAGACTTTTGTCAAAAAGGATAGAAAGCACAACAGAGACAGAGTCGTTAAAAGAGAATAGTCCAGCCGCCAGCACCTTGGGCCTGAGTGGGTGTGAGAGAAACTGACGGTGTACCCCAGAGGGAGCCTCAGCCACCAGCGGGCCACTCAGCTTTGAGCCTAATCCCACTCTCCTTTCCCTCCTTGCTGTCTCTCTATCTAGGCTCTGGGACCATCTGGCTGGATGATGTTTCATGTCGAGGGACAGAGACATCCCTGTGGAACTGCAACAAGAGTAATTGGGGCAGTCACAATTGCAACCACAATGAGGACGCTGGTGTGGAGTGCAGCTGACCTGCCTGAACCCTCAGGCTGCTCTGCTTCCAAGGTGCCTGCAGGCATAGACACTCAACCCACCTGGAAGAAGGCAGTGCTCTCTGAAGGGTTCCCTGGCAGTGGGGTCATTAATAAAACTCTAAGTGCTACCTGGCAATTTCATTGGCCATGGCTAAAATCACTAGTTTGTACCTCCCATCCTTTCTTGATGTGTCCACTCAATACAGGAAACATTGCATTGAGTTCTCACATGTCCCTGTACACAGGGACAGTGGGGTTCCAACTTATAGCTGGGGAGGGGGTGCAGGGGGATCTAAATGTGATGCAGAAAGTGAAGATCACCTGTAGTCACAATTCGTGGTGACCATCCCTTGAATCACTCAGGCAGCATCTCTCACAGTGAGTACTCCCTCCAGCACTGGAACTTTCCTCCAGCAAATGAACAGGTTGGCATGTAGTTGGCACCATGTTGCATGATAAATAGGAATTTGTACCTTTAAACATGAAGATGAGCTCTCACTAGGATGTGAGCTTCAGAAGTCAGGGACTTTGGTCTGTTTTACCCATCCCTATCGGTATAGGGGCTCGGTAATATTTGCTCAATGAGCGGCTGAATTAAACCAAGAAGGTAGAGCAGCTCACCCTCTCTGAGAAATTTGGCTTCTGGCTCCCTTTTCATTCTTCCCCTGTGGTACACACTCTCTCTGGGTGCAATGACATCTCCCCCTCCCTTCCCCTAGGTGCTGTAAGTGGTTCAGGGGAATGTTGAATTTGGGAGAGAGAGATGCCTGGGATGCGACTCTGATGTATCATCATTCACACTTGACCCAGGAGTTGCTCAGCTTCGGGGCATTAGGAAAACTGCTGGGAGTCCCTTGTGAATGGTAACACCAAGGGTAGAAGCCAGGACGGAGCAGTGGAAGGGCTGGAAGATGGAGTGGCCAAAGCTCTGGAGCGAGCGGTTTCCCTTGGGAGCTTGGCCAACCTCCCAGAAGCCACTGCACTTTCAGGGACTGCAGGCGCACAATTCCAAAACAAGTGTGTCAGAGCTGCAGGGGGACAGACAGGGGAGCCTCTGCAGGGAGCGGGGCTTGAAAGCTGGCTGTTTTAATTTGGCAGAAACCTCTGTAATGATGCACCTTTTTCTGGCAGGTTGAGATTTGGGAATGGTAGGTCAGGGAGGACTTAAAATGCCAACAAGATGTTTTAAGCCATATCAGGGGTTCTGGGATAATATTTTGAAAATGTGTAACCAAAGTGTCTTATCAGCACCTCTTAGCTCTCAAATCTTGTTGCCTGTTCTTTATCTCCCAATAAATTTTGGGGACTTTTTGCCCAAGGGAGGAAAGAACATGTACTGTCTGAAACAGAGAAGTCATCTCTCTCATTTGAATCTCAAAGCTGACTACCTGAACCTCTTTAGATACATCAGCGCCATGAAAATAGAGTTGAAAGCAGAAACAATTTTCTATTTTTTCCATTTAGCTTATCCAAAGCCAGGCCTGGCTGACTTGATCATGTACTTAAGTAAAGGAGGTCTGACCTGAGTCAACAGGATGGGCATGTCGAAAGCCCCCATCCCTCCCCCCTCTCACACACACACACACACACACACACACACACACTTTTTAGAGGAACAAAAATAGTTTATAGGCACAGAATAGTAAAAATCCTTGCAGAGAATGAACTATTCATGCCACCATAGCAAGGCTGTGGCTCAGCCCCACCCAACACTGCCCCTTCAGGGCATTGGTTCCTATCTCTGAGCTGCAATGAGGTGCAGACCTGTCTCCTGAGCTCCGGTCCTACCAGTCTGCATACCAACTGCCTCCACGTGGGTACCTCACAGGCCGGGCAGCTAAAGCCTGATTCATCATCTGCCCTTCCTGCGTTCCCCATCTCAGCCCGTGGCTCCCTCCATCCATTGTCCAAGATAAAAATTAAGTGTCAAATGCCATGCCTCCCCTCTGTTGCCCCTCATCCACCGGACACCAAGTCCCACTAATTCTACCTCCCAAATCTCTCTCCAGTCCACCCAGTTCTCCCCATCTTTGCCACCACAGTGGCCCAGGCCACAGCATCAACGGCCTGGATGGTTGGAACATCTCCTAATTAGACTCTTCCCTCCAGCACACTCCACTAACCACCCATTCGTTTACCACACAGCAGCCTGAGAAATCTTTAGAAATGACTAAGCTAACTATGCTACTCCCTGTCTAATGCCTTCAATGGCTCCCCAGTTCCTTAGGCAGTGGGCCAGATTCATGACTGTGGTTTATAAGGAAGTGACCCTGACAATCACACAGTCCTCCAGCAACCTTAATGTTTCATTCCTCTCTGTTGCATCTAGTCCTTTGTTCATGCAGCTTCTCCCGTGCAATGTCACATACACAATGGGCTCTTTCTGAGTGTTTCTGATGGACGCCCTGCACACATGAGGATGCTGAGCAGAGCACACAGTTTCTCTGCTCTGGGATCACTTCGCAGTCGGGAGGCGCGTCCTTGCCATTCCCTGTACTCCGATTGTTTTGACTCAAGATCACAACAACAGTTTTCATATATGAAGAAATGGTTTCACAAAGGCAAATCTGATCCTTTGCCTTTTACGTTGTCTAAGGTTAGTTTTCTTTTAAAATTTTTTTCTTTATTGATTTTAGAGAGAAGGGTGAGGGAGAGAGAAATAAAACATTGATGAGAGAGAACATCGATTGGCTGCCTCCTGCATGCCCCCCACTGGGGATTTGGCCCACAACCTGGGCATGTGCCCTGACCAGGAATTGAACCAGAGACTTCTTGGTGTATGGGTCGACGCTCAACCACTGAGCCACACCGGCCAGGCTGAGATTAGCTTTCAAAACAAAATAATAGGCCCATGATTTACGAGATGTGTTGTTTTAAATATTTTTTTTTTAGAGTTTGTGTCCTCCTGCTGCCTCAACATCTCCATGAACAGGCTATGATTACCGGCCAAGGGACCAGGTGACCAGGGCGAGAAGGTGGGCCCTGCCACAGTTTCCCCTCTCTACCCTCCCATGACTATGACCTAGTGACATTCAAAGGCACCCGTGAAATCCCCTTGTACCGTTTGCTTGTTACTCCAGCTGACCCCTGATCAAGGCCCTTGCCTGCGAATCCTCGCTGTCTCCACTCCCAGCCTGCTAGGCTGAGCCTGCTTCCTGTCGCTTCCTTTGTGTGCTCCCTTCTCGGCTGCAGTGACCCTGTCTCTGGAGGACCTGAGAGCATAATCACCCTTGTTTTCCCACACCTCTCCTGTGGCCGCACCTGACTGACCACCCCCCAAAGAACACAGAGCACTAGAGCATCCCAGGATACAAGCGAATATTCCCATCTTATAAACTAGCAAACTGAGTCACAAACAGGTTAAGTAATGTGGCCTGCTGGCTTCGATTTCCACCCTTCTGTTCATGGCCTTTACACTGTGACTTTGTCGTGCTTATTAGAAGCCAGGTTGACCGCCCCTTCTCTCTCTCTTGGAATTCCTGCCACATTATGGCATCAGGCTGGGCCGGCCCTCCAGAGGATGAGTGGGCATGTGGAGTGAGGAGCGGTGTGGCCCCTGAGGCCATGCCTATCATCTGGCTACAGCTGACACTGGTCAAGCCAGGCCCGTATCAGAAGAACTAATGGCCCAACCAACCCATAAATGCAAGAGTGGCCACGTGGCTGCAGCTTAAAGCCACCAGGCTTTGGGGGGTTGTCATACAGCACTAGCCACCTGATGGGGTTAACCTGACTGAGGGCACACAGCCAGTAAGAGGCAGAGGGGGATTCAAACCCAGGTCTGTCTGGCAGTTAGATGAAGACACAGAGTTGCTGCCACCCTCCCGTCAGGCAGAGCTAAGCTGAGGAAGCCCCCGTGCAGACACAGCGGGGCTGCAGCCCATGGCAGCCGTGTGGGCACGCTGCCTCTGCAGCTGGCTGGGGCGGATGCCGGGCCAAAGAGGAACCGGTAAAATGAGAAGACAGCATCCTCAACCACCCAAGAGCAGGCCGGCGTGGGCCATGGCCTCCTGACCTCTGTGTGACACTTGGCTGTGTCATCCACTTGAAATAATTCTCCTTTCTTCTTTCCCGCCTGGGGACACTAGGACCATTGCTGGGGCCTGTGGGACAGATACTGGCACCAAACGGCCTGGCTGGGCAGGACAGAGATGGCAGGGCTCTTAAAGGGCCATCTGTGCACAAGCCGGCCTCACTCCCTGCCCAGAGAGCGCCCCAGCACCCAGCCGCAGAGACAGCTAAGCACAAAGTTTCAGGAGCCAGACTGCCGGGGCTGGGATCCCGGTGCTACCATGTAATAGGCCTTCACCCGGACAACCAAGTTAGCCAGCCAACCCTCTCTGGGCCTGGTTTTCCAGCCTTAAAAAAAAAAGACAGTAACAGTTCTTCCCTCTCAGAGTTCCTGTGAGGATTAACTGACATGATGTAAAAAGGAACGATTTGAAATGGTGCTGGCAATGTAAACACTCAGGTTAGTGATTAGGATCCTTCAAGGTCCTTCACAGTCCTCCCCTCGCCTCCCCCCATTGCCCCGTCGAGCCCTCTGCACCAGATAGAACAGTCTCCTCAGGGACCTCCCATCTGTACCAGGACTGGGGTCGGATGATGAGGATGGGGTGTCTGTGGGTCCTCCAGAGGCTGACACAGAGCGAGTTGGGAGCGGGAGAAGTTACTGGGGGTAACGCCTGTGACGATGTGGAGGGACCAGGACTGGGCAGGGGAGCCTCAGAGCAGCATGCAAACGTGACAAAGTCCCAGCCAACTCTGCAGGGAGCTCCGGAGCAGAGAGGGACAGCCAGGCCCTAGTGCCAGCCTCCGCAGTCCCTGGCTGGGGCTGCCCCGGGAGTGGAGGAGGATCCCGAGGCTGGAGGCTCCTACCTCTCCTGGCTGAATGGCAGGTTCTCTCTCGAATCCAGGGACCAGAAGCACCTCCGTGGCTGCTAGAGACGGTTTGCTGAAAAGAGGGTGGGAACAGGGGGTCCAATCCCAGCACCAAT